CTCCCACCTTCTCCCTCCGATTTATGACGATCCGATCTTCGGATCTCTTTAGGCCAAGAGATAAAGTTGTTCTATGCGATGAGAGATATGCATACATACCAAAGATCATAGGTTTCTCCATAATCTCTAAGACGAAATTTTTGAGATCAAAGCTTGGAAACTTGATTTGGGTCTTTATGAGCTTTTTCTACGCAAATACATACTACAAGAGGTAGGGTTCCCTTCCTAACTAGGTTTATTTCTAATCTAGGGTTAAAATATGAAATGGGTAGGGTGTTAGAGATGAAATCTCATGTGTAACACATACCTAGTGTTGTTAGAATATGGAAATGGGTATAAGAATATGTTTAAACCAATCCTTTTATGATTCAGTTATATAAAATTGCTTGGTTATGAATCTTAAGAAGAAAGTGATGTTTTGGGCATGCAATGTGCTTACATAATCTTTGTGCCTTATAGGTGTTTGATAAAATGTCTATGGTTGATTAAGTGTGTTATTTGTACTGGAAATGCTATGACATGCTTAGTGGCTCATGAAATGTTAGTATATGCTTTATGATATATTGACATTTGAAGAATTGGAAATAATTTTGGAAATTGAATATGTTCATAATATGCTCATGATAAAATGAACATGACATTGTACATTATATTTGCATATGCACGGGTAGCATCGCATTTATGGGCATTCGAATGAGTGTGAATGTGAGTGTGTGTGCATATTTTTGATCAAAAACCATCCTTAGTGGGTTGATGCATGGGCTCGGGAAGGTCAAACCTAGGTTCGACTGAGTTGCACAGGTTTGCATTGAAAAGAAATGTGTAGGGGTTAGCAAAAAGGGCTAGATTCTCCCTTGGCTGCACGATCCCATAATTTCGAATACGCACTATCATTGGTATAAAGTCCATAAAGTAAGTCGACGTAAGCAGGGCTGTTGGTGAAAGTCCATAAATGTCATGTCGATTGGGTACCTGTTGGTGGAAGTCCATAAATACCCACCCCAAGAAAGACATAAGATTTTTATAAAATAGTCATTGGATGTCTAACATCAATGTCGGGGACTTGGAATGCCCAGATGCATACGCATGACATGACATGTGTTATGGAAGTCGGTGGAGGGCTTGGGGTTGCATTGCATCCGTGAGCTTCATCTCAAGGCATGACATGGATTAGTAGCATTCATTTATGGAATGAATTTATTTAAATGGATGCTTGGATTGTTGAATTGCATGTGACATTTCATATGCATCTGGGTTAGGAAGTAGTCTCCTTAGGAAATACCCTATTGAGCGTAGCTCACCTTTTATGAGAACAAATTTAAAGTGTCGGACAAATGCCGGTAGATGACCCTTACCCGGATCCTTGTTGATGACGAAGTCGAAATGTGGTTTTTAAATTGTAATTTTGTAATAGATTATGTAATTTGGTTTTGAACTTGTAGTTTTGGTAAAAAGGATAAGTAAAGAACTCTTTCGGACCATATTTTGATGTAAATGAATGTTGTATGAGTTTGGATGTATATGGAATGAGACTGGATGGTTAAAAGCTGAGAATTGGACAAATTTGGAAAAAAAATCTAGGCTCAAGTATCGGTACCTAGGCTCATAGGTACCGATACCTAGGCTCATAGGTACCGGTACCACACTGTCAGATAACCCAAGTATCGTTACCTAGGCTTACAGGTACTAGTACTTGGAGCCCATTACCACGCTTTCAGATAACCCAAGTATTGTTACCTAGGCTTACAGGTACTAGTACTTGGATTCCAATGGGCTCAGGTACCGATACAAAGGCTTCAGACCGGTATTCCGATGGACAATGGGCTCAAGTACCGATATCAAGACATATAGATACCGGTACCTAGTAAACAGTGGGCTCAGGTACCGGTACCAAGTTACATAGGTCTTGGTGCTTGGCAAACAGATGGTACCACAAGTACTGGTACCTCTTCCCAAAATTTGAAATTTTAAAATGTAACACTAAGAGACATTCACTTTTTAACGACCTGCCAAGGATGATGTAAATGGATAATAATAAGTCCTAATTATGGACCTTGAAATGGTCATGTAGTTGACATATATACAGGTTATGGGTTGAGTAGTGCTTCAATACAAAGGAGATTCTACCAAAACTCTATTTGGTTATAACCCCAGTGAAAGGGAAGTAATGACGTGGTGTCAGGTTACACAGCACTCACAGGTACTTCTGCGGATTGATTGGTGATCAATGGGTTGAAAAAGAACCCCCAGATTTTAGGGCATCACATCTTCATTCTTTTTCCTTTTTGGCCCAAAATCTTGGATTTTTGTTGGTCTCTTCAAAATGGTCATTTCTTTCTTTCCCAACTTGGATTTCACCTCTTGCTTCCTTCTTTACCTGTGAAGTAGAGTCTCTTGTTCTATTGGCATTTCAGCCCAGATGCCTGTGAAGTAGAGTATTACTACTAAGATGCCTGTGAAGTTAGGCATCTTCTCTAACTTATCATAGCCAAACTTCGTATTTTTCTCCCTTTCAATTGTCGTCTGATGTGCGGAAAGAGAAATTTGCATGAACTTAGTAGTAATACTAAGTCCGTCCTTCTTTTACATCGGACCATCAACAACGAAAATTTTCCCTTTATCTGCTTGGGGCAGTTGAAGAGTAGAAGTTGGAGAGTCAATCATGAGCGGCTCCATTTGTTTCTTTTTTGACATGTTATTGAGCGAGGTTAGTACCAAAGTGTAAAAGGTTTAAAGTTGATGAAAACAAAAAAAGGAAGATAAGGAATTCACCTGAAGCAACATCATCACCATCTAGTTGTCAATTGGCAAAACATAATCTGGCTAGGTACTCATTCGGCTGATAAACAAAAATAAAAGTTGAAGTACTTTGCCACCACTCATCAAAAAAGGAAGAGGTGCCAGGGTGGTTATGAAAATGCTCAAAACGGAAGGCCTCTAAAGCTTGTACATAGACTTGAGAAATTTGCTGAACTATAACATCTACTTTCATTTTGGTCCTTTCTCCAGCCAGTTCATTATGGAAGGATATATATATATATAAGGAATAACGATACATTGAGTCCTGTCAAATTGCCTGGCAACTTGACTGGAGTTGTACCTCTCAAAACTTCAATTCGAGAATTTAGAGGCAAAGGCTGATTCGCCTATATGAAGGTAACGAGGGAGGAGAACACTACCCCCAAAAGACAAATTGCAACTCTGATAGTTCCTCAGAAAAGTAGTCAGTTTCAGAAAACAAAAGCTTAATGCGGGAGGTAGAATACAAACAACCAGAAAAAGGATTAAAGAAAGAAGGATCCGTATGTTAGTTGAGGTTAAACATAACCAAAAGGTAAAAATTAAAATATTATTCAATCAACAAGGGGCTGGTTAACAAAAGCAAATGGGCATAATTGAGAAGTTGGTAATTAGGGTCAGGAATGAAATCGACAGAGCTGACTTCAGGAAACTAAGTATAAAGTCAAGCCTGAAAAAACCGGAAGGGACCACCGCAACTAGCAATGATCCTTTTATCCGCCATTGTAGAGGCCTTTGTACAATGCCCCTAAAACAAAAACAAAAATGCCAAGGCCAATTTCTTTATATTAGCCAAATAAGTGGTTAATCCAATATATTACCTAGTCACTTTGAAACCAGGAACGCAAAAGAACAAAAGGACAGAACCAATACAAGAGAAAAGCAACATGTTCTTCGAAAGAGGGGGAAATAGGTTTGGAAGGAAAGAAACAATTTATTGGATCAGAATATTCCAAACACGTAGGATATTGAGAAAATGACCAACATCACCTTTTATGCAAGCATTTACCTCTATACCCGCGATGACAGTCCAGCAAGATGCACTACGTCGAGAATTAGTAGGGACATCATGTTCATTGGAATAAAGCATTGCATCACTAGGACCAAAAATAAACGACAACACCAATCAGCCGTCGATTCATATTCAATGAAGTAGCTTAATGTTGACCATTTTGTAAATCCGCAACTGTGTCTCCAATGAGAATAGAAATGTGGTTCCAATCGATCCACCTTTTGTCAAGATTGATCCATGACCACAAGAGATTAGTTCCTTGATCCCAAGATCTCCATTGGAGTTTGGACCGATACAATGTTAGGGTTTTCCCTTCATGAATGAGGGAGTAATAGAAAAAAACCTTCAAAGATATACAATTTGAAGTAAGGGTCAAGGAAAAAAGCCTATACTAGAATTTGAACCAAGAATCAAAACCCTATATTTTACAAACTTTTGAACAGACGGCTTGATATTATAAGGAAATCAAGGGGGGAAAAAAATTCAAAGTAGAGGAAGAGAAAGCTGGTTGTTTATAAGGTGCCATTAATGGAATATAAAGGTTCTTATGAAAAAGAAGAACGATAAAAGAAATAAAAAGTGCCAGAGTGAAAAGTCGCAAACTGAAGTGAGTAAAAAATAAACCGGCAAATGTTTATACATGTAAAGTAACAATTGCGACCGTTCATTTGTCACATGTTCATTTTATTCAAGTTATTAATTTAACCTAAATAAATGAAGACATTGTTTGCACCATATCCTGTGATCATAAAGAATGTACAACAGAAAGATACCAACAAAATCTACAACAAAAATGGCCACGTGGCAAATCTCCAGATAAGGAGGGAAGAAGTAGTCGGTTACTAATTTGCTATTACTAACGGAATTGCATAGTTGGCAACTATGCAATGGAAAGAATAGTTTAGAATAAATGTAAGACTTGGGCATCATTAGGAATAATTTTTAGAATAGTTTAGAATAAAATTGACTACTGCAATTAAAAACTATTTCTTCGTTATTTTTGTAACTGAAGAACCTTTGCAGTTTAATAAATAGCATTCACTTTTGTGAATCATCCTCTTTGGTGGATCAGCCTCTTTTACTTTAAATCTATCAATTATTTTGATGCAAGGCAATCCCAAAACAAGACGGTTAAACCCCACCCACACGTCACAAAAGATACCGCCCCTCGATTGCGCGAGATTTGGAGCAACAAATATCCTCCATAACATGGCAACCAAAAGAGTCCTAAATGTTTATCTAAAGGAAACAGAATTTCGTAAATAGAAGAAAACTGAAAATAATTCATCTTGAATCTTCAGGAACTAAACAAATTTTTGTAGCGATAAACATCTAGATGTTGAACCCGCCAGAACAAAAATTACATGCGAAAAACTCGCATAATCTCATAATTCAAACGTAAAACACGTAAAGTGAACATAATAAAGGCAACTTCAAAAGCCCACTCTTGCCGTTCCTATTCATCACCAAATGTTGTCTTCTTCCCTGCAGTCAGAACACAAACAAAATCATTGGAGAAATTATGTAAAGTGTAACGAAAGAGCTAATCAATGCTGTCTCATGTTTGACACCAAAGCCTACAGCACCAGGTGTCATGGTGGTAAAATCTGCCTACTTGACTATTCTAATAGGAAGACGAAAATTGAGTTAAAAGCTCAAATTAATAATTTAGGACAAACTATTGTGTGAAAAAATGAAAACATGAAAAATAACTAGCCTCATTAAAAGGTGGCAAATTAAAAAAAAAAAAAGAAGAAAAGACATTGAAGAGGCGGACAATAAAAATGTTGAAGCATATATCATTAGCTAAAGCAGTGCGCACTAGGCCTGTTAATTTAAGTCATTTTGCATAAACCCTTGATTGAAGCCTCACATGAGGTAGGAACACAACTCTTCTCAATAGAGGAATCACCAAACTGTACAAAAGATTTTAAATGAATGAGGGTAAGCTATTTAAAATCTAACTTGCATTGACTGAAAAATAAAAAAAAAAAAAAAAAAAGGTAAACATACCTGTCCCAGCAGTAGCTAAGCTAGGTTTGCTGTGTGTTCCACGACCTCTGCCACCACCTCCAAAACGGCCACCACCTCCAAAACGGTCACCACCACCGCGGCCACCTCCACGTCTACCACCAAACCTACCATCACCATCTCTACCACCACTCCTCCCACCACCACCTCTGCCACTACCAGCACTGTCACGATTATCACGTCTCGGCTTTGCCTCTTCCACCATCAAGTAGTTATCTCCAAATTCAGATTCATTGAGTTGTAGAGCTTTCTTGAAACCATTGCTATCCTTAAAATCAATATAA